AACTATTTAACTCTTGTTTTGCCTTGAATTATTTTTCTACCTCACAAGGTCAGTTCTTTATTTCTTTTTCTTGTTAACTCTTAATGTCTCTACATTTATGCCTTTGAAAAAATGGGAGGTTTTTTTTGATATTGCATTCTGAATGACCAACTGTGTATTTCTTAATATATTAATATTTATTATTATATATTATATATTATGTATATTATATTAATATATATAATATATATTACTTTTTCACAGTTCCTGGCTCACAGCTCCCAAAACCCTCAAAAGTTCATAAGTGAAGAGAGATATAAAAATCTCTCTCTCTCTTTCTCATATATTTTGTCTTTGTCTCTCTCTCTCATATGTTGGTATTGTTTACAGTAGTCATTATCATATTTATTGGCATTATTTACATTATTTACAATAGTCAAGATATGGAAGTAGCCTAAGTGTCCATTGACTGACGAATGGATAAAGATGATGTGGTTTGTTGGTATGTTAATGAGGCTACTTTGAACACTACCAAAGGATAGGGGTTGGTGCAAGGAGAAGCTACTTTGTGATTAGAAGGTTGGAACTTTCATTGCCATCCCCCTGACCTCCAAGGAGGGGAGAGGAGAAAAAAGAAGGGCTGGAGGTCAGACCACTTGCCAATAACCAAAGTTTAATCGATCATACCTGTCTAATGAGGCCTCTATAAAAACCCAAAAGAACAGTGTTCGGAGAACTTCCAGGTTGGTGAACACATAGAGGTGCTAGGAGAGTGGCTTTCCTGAAGAGGTCATGGAAACCCTCTACCCTTTTTGCATACCTTACCCTGTGGTTCTCTTCCATCTGGTGGTTTCTGAGTTATATCCTTTTATAATAAACTGGTAATCTAGTAAGTAAAATGTTAAAGTTTTGTGAGCCACTCTAGCAAATTAAGTGAACCCAAGGAGGGAGCCATTGGAACCTCCAGTCTGTAGCCATGGTCAGAAGCACAAGTGACACCTGGGCTTGTGACTGGCATCTGAAGTTGTGGGAGGAAGGGGCAGGTTTGTAGAACGGAGCCCTTAACCAGCAGGATCTGATGCTATGTCCAGGTAGATAGTGTCAGAATTGAACTGAATTATAAGATACCTAGCTGGTATCTGAGCATTGCTTGGTGGTGTGAAGAAAGTCCTCTTCATTCATTGGAAATGGTGATCAGAATCATTTGATACACAGAAATTTAATTCTTTAAGCATTGATTCTGTGCTTCTAACGTCACTCCTTTGAATTCATAGCAATTTTTTTTTAATCATGAATTTCAGTTTATGTATACAACCTTAGGCATCTTATACTTTCTTTACTATCATTTTGTATATGTTTCACTGTATATGTGAAGTATCTTATGGCCCTAACATGAGTGGAGGCTTTTTTAATAAGCCATGGGCTCTCATCTTATAAGAATATGCCTGTTTTATATGTCAGTGTTCCCAGAAATTAGTTTCTTTAGCAAATGGAAGAAAGTTTATCATGTCCTTTTTTGTTCACATTATGTTCCTATGATTTTAAGTTGAAAACTCAAGATTCAGCCATTATCTCAGCACTAGATGACACTTTTGCATCACAACTAGTCAAACACCTAACAGTTTTTGTGACAAGTGAATGATCCACAAATGTAATGTTTGGAATTCCTGCATGGGTATTCTTGAGAATAGGAAAATGAAACAGGAGGAGACTTACTAAGTACCAATTGCTTTAGGTATTTTTAAATACATGGTTGAAGAATATTTTAAATTCATAATCATTATTTCGTAGTAATATTAATAGTCTGGTCTCTATCCATACCTTCTTAGCCTAATGTTGCCATAAAGTTGAAATTTCTTTCAGGACCTTTTTTGCTATCCATCATGGCTAATTGTGAGACAAATGAGTAGTATCGCTCCTTACACTGATTCACACCTAACTCTAAGCACTTACTCTTCTGTAGGATTTAAGAAAATGCATGGGTTTGGCTTTCTTAAGAACCCTATAGATATCACTGAGGACACTGGAAGCATCTCCCTTTTACTGTTGAGAAAACAGAAGTGCAGAGATGTTAATCTCCCCAGCATTAATAGCTAGTATGTAGGCAGGACCTGTATTCAAACTCAAGTCTGTTGGATTTTAGAGCCGAGATCTGCTCTTTCCTTTATTCTGATGGTGCCGGTTTAGCCAATACCTATTCATGTTAAAGTAACTGGATGACTAGTGCAATGATTGTTGTTGGTTTCTTTCTCTTACAAGATATATAACTCAACACCCAAAAACAACCCAATTAAAAAGTGGGCCAAATACACAAACAGACATTTCTCCAAAGAGGACATATAGGTGGCCAGACATGTGAAAATATGATCAATATCACTCATCATCAGAGAAATGCAGTTCAAACTATAATGATATATCACCTCACATCTGTCAGAGTGGCTAAAATCAAAAACAGCGAGAAACAGCAAGTGTTGGTAAGGATAAGGATGTGGAGAGAAAGGAACCCTCGTGTGCTATTAATGGGAATGCAGACTGGTATAGCCATTGTAGAAAACAGTATAGAAGTTCTTTAAAAAGTTTAAAAAAAAAAAAAAAGGAACTACCCTGTGATCTAGTAATTGCACTACTGGGTATTTACCCAAAAAAAAATGAAAACACTAAAGGGATACATGCCTCCCCCCAGGTTTATTACAACAGGTTTATTTACTATAGTCAAGATATGGAAGTAGCCTAAGTGTCCATTGACGAATGGATAAAGATGATGTGGTGTGGATATGTACACACGCACACGCATGCACGGGAACATTTTTCAGCCATAAAAAAAGAATGAAGTCTTGCCATTTGCAACAACCTGGATATAGCCAGAAAGTATTATGCCAAGCTAATCAGTCAGAGACAAATACCATATGGTTTCACTCATATGTGGAATTTAAGAAATAAAACAGAAGAACCAAGGAAAAATAAAGAGACAAACCAAGAAACAGACTCTTAACTGAAGAGAACAAATGGATGGTTACCAAAGGGGAGGTGGAAGGGGGAATGGGTGAAATAGGTAACAAGGATTAAAGAGTATCCTTATCATGATAAGCATTGAATAATGTATAAAATTGTTGAATCACTATATTGTACACCTAAAACTAATATAACACTGTATGTTAACTATTCTGGAATTAAAACTAAAAACTTAAAAAAATACTTAGAGATGACAAAATAAAATAGAGAAGAATGTGAGAATAGAGGAGAATGCATGAAAAGCGCATAGACTAGTACCTGGCACATGGTGAACATTCAATAAATGGCCCATGGTTTAACCATTTGGGTAGTTTTATATATTATTTAACATGAGAAACGTCTGTACTGCTTTGTGTAACGTATGAAATAGAATTTGAGCTATGGCTAGAGTGGCCATATATCCCAGTTTACAGCCACCATCCTGGTAATTACTAGCACTTTCTTCTTGCTCTAAAAAGAGTTCTGATATAAATAATAAATTACCTAATCACCCTAGCTATAGCCAGCTTTGTTACAGAAGAGCTTTGTACCCAGGGATTTGTTCTTGAAAGTTTGTCTAAAGTAAAAACTCCTCTAAGGAAAGATAACTGGTACTTTTCTGACATAGAATAGAGATACGTGTGTGTATATTAGCATCCTTAACATTCTGGTGTTAAACTCTCTGGCATGGTCTTCACGAAGGAATATAGCCTTGGGCAAGTTCGTTTCCTTCTTTAAAACTAGGTACTTTATCTGTAAAATAACAATAGCATTAGTACCTGTCTCCTATGGTTGTGTAAATGGGGTAATGTAAGTAAAGCGTTACATAGAAAGTACATCATAAATGAGAGATATACAGAGGTAGATATTTCACTTAAGGAGAAAGCATTGATACGAAGTATTTAGATACATTGGGAACGGAAAAATTGGAGTAGACGACACTTAACTAAGGTCCTTTACAGTGATAAAAATCTAATGGTTTTGATTTACAAGGATAAAAAGCTATTCTTTTGTTGAATTTATATTAGGGCAAATTTCAAACATTTGTGAAAGTAGAAAGCGTAGTGTGAGAAAGCAGTGAATCCATGAGGTACCCATCACTTAGCTGTCAACAGTAATACAATACATAGCCAATCTTTCTTTTATAACTTTCAAAAATAACTTTAATGAGATATTTTACATATCATAAAATTGACCCATTTGAACTATTAGTCATTTGTACAAATTTGCCAAGTTATGGAACTGTCACCATAAATCAGTTTTCAGACATTTTCATCCCTTTGGTAATATTCATTCTACCACTTTATAGTTAATCCCAGTTTTCACAGTCAGTTCCAAGCAACCACTGATCTACTTTTTATCTCTATGAATTAGCCTTTTCTGGACATTTCATGTCAGTGGAATCATACAGGATGTGGTTTCTTGTGTCCAGCTTCTTTCACTTAGTATAGTGTGTTTGAGGTTCATTCACATTATAGCATGTATCAATTAGTAGTTCATTTCTTTCTCTTGAAAAGTGTATTCTCTTGTACAGGTAATACCTTGTTTCGTTTGTCTTTGCAGTCCCAGTGTTTTATCATCTGTATTTTTATCCTTTCACGTCTGTTTCATACCCCTACTGAACTATACAAAAGCTATGTTTAATTTCATGAATATGATAGCTTAAAAACATTGATTGTACGTTCTTGCTTTTTATATTTATTTTCCTAAACGTAGTCTTTCTGTCCTCTCATTCATCTTGCCAGTTTTAATTTGTTTTCTTGCTCCAGGGGTCTTTGTTGTTTGTTGTTTGGTTTTACCTGACAATAAAGAGCTGTCTAGACTATAAACTTCCACAGACAGAGATAAGTTCATTTCTTTATTTCCTCACTTTAATGAAACATTGTACTTGCTCAGTGGCAAATCCAGATAGTGATGATTTCTAAATCTTTTAATAAGTCTTTCAAGTTGGCTTCAGTGTTCTATGTTGGGCTGAATCTATTTATTTCTGATTCTCATGGGTGTTTGTTTTTTGTTTTGTTTTAACTCAGGTTGTTGGAAGAGGAGCCTTTGGAGTGGTTTGCAAAGCTAAGTGGAGAGCAAAAGATGTTGCTATTAAACAAATAGAAAGTGAATCTGAGAGGAAAGCTTTTATTGTAGAGGTAAGTTGAAATGTTTTTTCTAATGTATAGTTCTTTACCAAAGATATTCTGTGAATTTAATATTATGAAAAAGTTATTTCCCAGTTGTCATTTCCCCGTATTCTTGAACCTTAGCAATTTGGTTGAACCAAAGATAATGCTGTAGAAACATTTTTCATTCACACTCTTAATTTTAATTAAAAATTGGGGGGAAAAGACTTCTAACCACATAAATGAATTCATCCCTGAATTAAAATACAGATCATCTGTGTAATTCAAATCTATTTCAAGGCATAGGATTTAAATTTTGGAATAGAAATGGTATTCTATCCCATTATCTAAAATTAAGAAGGGAAATTTTATGCATTCATTATTGACTGAATATTTTTAGAAATTCAAATGAGATCACTTTACAGGGAAATAATTTCAAATTTGATTTTTTTTCTCATTTAGCATGAAAATCTACAACTCTGTTCTCTTACAGATTCAGTGATGAAGAATTCAATAATCATGAATTTAATAATAGTAATTGTATTATCAGATTTATTCTTTATTAATTTTGAACTATTTTGTATATTAGATCACAGTAGTTCCTTAAATTAGTGGGGTTTTTTCCCCCTCATTGGCCAATGGATAAGTGGTCTTTACCTTACAAGCCTTTCTGAATTTATGTCTGTGGTTATATTTAATTATAATTTGCAAATATACTTTATGATATTTTTAAACGTATAATATGGAGAATGAAAATTTAGTTGGGATACAATGAAGGGGATTTTTGTAATTAATTGAATGAGTTGAGAAATGTTGATAATTTGGGGTCCTCATGAAGAAAAGGTGATCTCTAGTAGTATGCTCCAAGAGTGGCCTCAGCATTGCCTTATTTATGATTTTTGTTTATGGTTGAGATAAGGTCTAAAAGTGCATTGGCACTTTCACAAAACTAGCTAAGAGCATATGTGTTAAATGCTAGGAATTAGGAGTCAAAACATTATTATAGGTTGGATAAAAAAAATTTTATCAAGGTTATACATACAGGTAATTCAGATTGTCAAATAGTTCTCCACATAGTCTTATTTTAAAAACTTTTTAATACCCAGACCTCTTCCCATCAAGATTTTTTGCTTATCAGAGGCAACTACTTTGAGCTCATCCCTTAGTTCTGTTTGTGTCCCCCAATCGAGAGACTCTAATCATTGGGATGATAAAGAGGCAGTCACTAAACTGAAGTCAGGAAAGGAGAGAATCTGGTCTGCCTTTCAACTAATCTCTCTGTTCCTTTGTTGGCTTATTTGCATAGGTTCCTGGTAGTACCACCGGTCCAACCCTTTGTAGGTTTTATGAAATTAATCTCATTTCTGTTCACTTTTTCTCATTTTTTTTTTAGGTCTGCTGTGTCAGTTACTGCTAGTCATTTGCTTTTCAGCTTCCAGAAACATGTGCTGTTTCCTCATTTGACATTCTCTTCATCCTTCTGAATTTGTGCCTTGAAAAAATGCCTGTAATATCTTGGTAGGATTTGGGGAAGGAGCAGAAATAAATGCTTAAGGGACACCTGGGTGGCTTAGTTGGTTAAGTGTTTGCCTTCGGCTCAGGTCAGATTCCAGGGTCCTGGGATCAAGTCCCACATTGGGCTCCCTGCCCCACTCTGCCTGCTTCTCCCACTGCTTGTGCTCTCTCTCTCTGACAAATAAATAAAATAAAATCTTAAAAAGAAAGAAAGAAATGCTTAAATAATGTGCTATCCGATGCTCAGTGCTAAACCTTTAGAAGATGAAATACCATAAATATATTTTTTGTATAATAAATGAATATAATAAATAGTAATTGTTGTGTTAGGACTGAAAATACACAAGTGTTGACTATAGAGAAATACAGCTTTCTAGTGACGTATAGTAAAAAGGTTAACCTTCATATGAGCTGGCTGTATAGTGTGGATAACAGAGAAGAGAAAGAGGGGGAAAAGACAGAAAAGAGAGGAGAAGGAAGAGTAAGTGCAGTTTGGAGGGACACATTAATAGAAGTTTGAGGTGTAGAGCAAGAGAAACAGTACAGCCAAACCTCTCACTGACCTCAGTGTGATTCATTGGATTGGGGAAGATTATTTGCATAGGTACCTGGTACTATCATTAGGAAGTAGGGAGAACAGCTAGGAACATACCATAGTGATTACTGCAGCAATTCATGTTGGAATTACTAAGGCAGTGGTAGTGGGAATGGAAAAGACGTGATTAATTCAAGAGATGGGAGAAGGAAGAAGACCGTACACATATGCAGAAAGAGTACAGATTTTAAGTTGGGTGAACCAAAGTTGAAACCCTGGCAGTAGCGATAGGTTATTTAACCTCTCCCTTAGCCCTGTCTGAGCTTTATCTTAAAGGTCCCTTTTCTTTTCTTTAAATTTTATTTATTTATAATAGAGATAACAGGGAACATAAGCAGAGAGAGCTGGAGAGGGAGAAGCAGGCTCGCTGCTGAGCAGGGAGCCTGAGATGGGGCTCAAAGCTAGGACGCTGGGATCGTGACCTGAGCCAAAGGCAGCCACTTAACTGACTGAGCTACCCAGGTGCCCCAAAGGTCTCTTTTCTTATAGGCAGAAATGACAATTCCTACCTTGCAGAGTTGTGAGAATTATATAGTATCTGTTAAATGCCCACCAGGACCTGGCACAGAGTGAGGTAGGCTATGCAGCCGTAACTCTGAAGATGATGATGATGACATAGCTTCATTTGCCTTGGATAACTAAGCTCAGTGCCCTCTCTGGGATGGTGTACTAACATTTCTTGTTAAAGTTTATTTTTTCTTACTTGTACTTATCATGGCTTGTTCATACTCCTGTTATAGCATTTTGCATTTTGCCTTAGTTATTCGTTTACATGTCTGTCTCCCAAGTAAAGTGTGAGAGCTCCAGGGCAGGGAATCTTTTCCATTCTGGGCAGGCATTTATGACACATCACCTGCTACATAGTGAATAATGATTGTTAAATGATTAAACTAATGTTTTGTATACCCTAAAGTTGTAATGATATAATGTAATCAATTCCTCAAAAATTAGCATCTTTTAAAAGAAACCTTAATTTGTTACAGCTTCGACAGTTATCCCGTGTGAACCATCCTAATATTGTAAAGCTATATGGAGCCTGCTTGAATCCAGTAAGTTTGTCGCTTTTTCATTGTCACCTGTCTATAAGCATTGACACAGTAAATGTTTGCAGGTGTGTAGTTTATGAAGCTATTTTGATCTGTTATTTTTTCTTAAATTAAAAGTGTAAAAATTACCCTTTATGTATTTGTTTGTAGTCTGTTAGCAACGCAGTATATTGCAAGAGTTATCTTGGGTAGTCTTATCCATTAACCTCATCTTATGAGGCTCATGATGTTCTGTGTCAGTATCTACTCAACACTGGAGAAAGCTTTCGAAGTTCTGGCAATTATCTTTTTACACACACCTGCATTCTTGGACAGTGGGCCCCTACAAGACAAGGCCTTAGATCATAGATCCCCTTCTTTTTTCCATTAGTTCCATTCACATAGCAGAAATCAAAAGAATAATTTCTTGTGCATTTTTAAAATTAAAGATTGAACTCCGTTCTCTCTCAAGTCACCTAAGATGTTATAGCCCTGTGGTTAATTATAATGACATATGTTTCTTTTAGGTATGTCTTGTGATGGAATATGCTGAAGGGGGCTCTTTATATAATGGTGAGTGTCATTAGACCTGTCTTTATCTAATAGAGTAAAATCATTGAAAAGCTTTTCATATACACTGTTAGTTACTTAATGTTCTTTACAGCTTACCTTCAGAATCTCAAAAGGAGGTAATTAAAAATAAATCTGCTAAAGATAAGAAATGAAAAGAACATTAGTATGTGAAATTTAGAAGTCTGAGTATATCAATCTTTTCAATTGATGGTACTTTTCATAATGTTAAAAACATTTAAGTCAAGTAAAATTTGCTTTTTAAATAGATTTTAAAATATCTTCATACTTTTAATGTTTTTCTTTTTGTCCTCTCTTAGCTTTGAGCCTCCTCATTTGAGAACTCTTTAAGCATACTTTCTTCCATTTCATTCCTCTTAATTTGCTCTCTTTACAAAAAATGAAATTGTGAAAACTTCAGAAAACATTTTAATTATAACAAAGAAACTAGGTCATTTAGTTATATTTACAGAACAGAGCTAACTTTTTCACTCTTAAGAAACACCAATCTTTTAGTAAGTATATTAATTGTTGCATTTGTATAAAATAAATGGTTGTATTTTATTTTTTTTTAATTACCATTTTATTTAAATTTTTACTTATATTCACTGCCCATGTGTTCATTGTTGATGGGTATCTCTAATACTCCATTGTCTTACTTGGTTGAATTATTTCTAGTTTTTAGCTATTGTAGAAAGCATAATTTTAAGTATCTTGACACACGTTATTTTCTTTTTGTACTACTTCTCTGTACTTCTCTTACAGTAGTATGCCATCACATTACTTATAAGTCACATTATTGTGTGAAAGACTGTCAATGTGGAAAAGTGTGGTAATTCATACTAATTTTGCTCGAGTGTAGGTATAACATTTAATAGAAGTATCACATTGTAGGTGCTTATGTGATAGTTACCCATTTGAAATTATTAGATATTTCCATCTTTGTATTTAGAAAAGAATTAAAAGCAGAAGTGATGGGAGCATGAGTAGGAAAATATCCAGTCATGTGTTCCACTAGTGCTCGCATTCACCTTGTGTCTTTTTTTATATGCAATAAAGTTCTTTTTAGTTTGTGCCTTTCTTTTGCAGTGCTGCATGGTGCTGAACCATTGCCATATTACACTGCTGCCCATGCAATGAGTTGGTGTTTACAGTGTTCCCAAGGAGTGGCTTATCTTCACAGCATGCAACCCAAAGCTCTAATTCACAGGGACCTGAAACCACCAAAGTAAGTTCTAATAGTGTGGTGTCTGTCTCTGTCTCTGCCGCCCAGCCCTCCATCCACTTCCTAATTCAAGCTAATTGTTACACTGACTTTATCTTTTCTCTTCCTTTTTGGCTTGTTTGAGAGTGTTTATTTTTAACTTACCTTCATTATTTAGTCATTTCTCTAAGCTTGCATTTTAAAATGTTGTCTTTACTAGGATTTAAATCTTCGTCAGATTTTTATTTTAATAATTCTTGCTGTTGATTAGCATACTTCTACAGTTGGTTAGCCTATAAATCTTATTTTGTGCCTGCTCTATATATTGTTGCCCCCAGACAGTCAGTTCCATAAAAGCAAAGACAAGTTTGTCTTATTCCCCACTATATTCCTAATAGCTAGTACAATGTCCACATGTAGTGGACATTCTGCAATATTTTACAGAGTGGTTATTATTTGCCATTTTAGAGGAAGGCAAAAGGACATTTCTGGCTTCCGGGTAGAAAATGAAAATATTCTGGATTTCTTCATATTAAGGATCCTAGGACTTTGAAAGAACTTAAAAACTCCCTAAATAAGTACTTTAGAAGGCTAAAACTTTAGGGGGTTTTTTGTTTGCATAGGTACTCAGTTAAAGAAAACACACATGTGGGTTTGTCCCCTTTTTTCTCAGATTTTTTTTTCTTCTTTATCCACTTGTGACAGAGTTTAAAAAAAAAGTCCACATGCCATTGTCTCTCTTCCCACTCCCTCTGCCACCACATCAGTCCTTGTTTAAGAGGTTTCCCCTAGGAAATCAGTCTCAAATATTGGATTCTCTTGATACAGGTAGCTTTAAAGTGTCCCTTCTGGGTACAACTTGTCACTCTCATGTCTGATCTGATATGTTCTACATAGGTTTCAGCTCTTGGAATGACTGTTCTCACTAGTGTACCTTATTTCTACTCTCAGACTTAAACTGATTTCTCTTGCCCCAGGTCCCTGGTCAAATAATGTTTAAGACCCAGATTCATGACATACATTTTTTTTAACTTGACTCCTTGAGGCTATTGCCTTAGCTGCCTATCTTGAATATGAATAGTGAAGAAAAAACCACTTTGTCTTTCTTTTTTATGAAGCGTGAGTCCTCTTTTGCTCCTCTTCATTAACACACAGCTGAATTATCAAAACAAATTAATGAGAATCATAGCTCTTATCCAGCAACAAATTGACTAATGATTCAAAAGATATAGGCAAGCATCAGGTACATAGCATCTTTTTCTGAAAGATCCAGAAACTATTAGATGGAACTCTTCAAAAGTATCCCTTTTCTTCTGCATTATGTCACATTTCAGCTTTGAAATAACTATTTCTAAACAATATACGTGAAAATATCTCACAAAAGGAAGTCTTTTGAGTTTTCCAACATCTTTTCTAATCCATAATTTTACAACTAAAATAACTACCTTCATTCTCCATCTACCCATACTCCATAAATCCATAAATATTAGATGTACTTACCGAACCTACTTAGACCAGTTATGTCCTACCAAAATCATTTGTAGATAGGGCCTCTAACTTTTGCTAATAAATACCATCAGTATATTTACAGGAAGTCTGGCTTAGGCCATACATTCCTCTTGGGCATCCTTATGTGTGCACTCATCCTGTAGTATTTCAGATTATCTTTGGGACATCCGTATTCAAACTGGGCTTTAGAGTTAGAACTGATTTTTCAGAATGTACTGGGAAGAAGGTTGTTTGAAATGGCTGTGTTTTCTCATGAAATTGTGTATACAAGCACATGTACTATGTTATTGTCACTGGAAAACCTGTGGATTCTGTGGTCAGAAAGAATTCCTGGCATATAAAGAAGGCACCTGATGATTTGGTTAGGTATTTTATATAATGTCAATTTGTGCCCTATTTTATTCATCTTTTGCAGGTTCGTTCGCATGTACTTGAGAAATAAAAGTGTGTTTTTGATCCCAGCTGTGTGAATGTAAGCCTAAAGAGAATGTTTAGGTGCATATTTCAGTGAGCCTTGAATATCATGCTCATGGCTAGTGGCATATTAAAATCTTAGTGAAGGAGTACTAATTACAATAATAATAATAATGTAAAAGTCATTCAGAAAAAATTGAATCTATCAAGATGAAACAAGGAAAACCAGTTATAGTTCTTTTGTTGGGTAAAGAGTAGTTAGAGCTGGAACAAGAACAGTGAAACAGGAAGTTTTTTGTTGATGTGCATATAAAGGTAAATTGCATTTAGCATTCTTTCCACTTCAGTTATTATAGGAGATTTGTGACATTATGGAAATGTGTATAGCAGTTTATCTGGTTTATCGTAGTCGTTGGACTAAAAAGAAACTAATTCCTAAATAATCTCTCCAGTTAGAATTTTAATATGAAAATTATATATAAAGAATGTATAAAAATTGTAATTTCAATGGACCCCATATACTACTATTGAATATTACTACAGTGTGATGGTACAACTTATCTTTATTTCTGTTTGTCATCAAGAGGAAAACCTAAGTAAGGGTATACTACTTGGTGACTATACTTGGGTAATATAGCACCTAGGAAAATCAGAATCTTAAATTCAGAAAATTTTCTGGAAATCTTTCATTAAATTAGTCTAACTATAATAAGAGTTATGTTCCTCCCACACACACATTCAAAGCATAAGAATGGTTTTGGGTTTGAACATTTTTAGAAGTATCTTAAAAATAAAGACATTTAAAATAAGGACCATTTTTTTCCTTCTTCCTTAGAGGTTATTTTACTTTTTTCTTTAAATTATATGTTGTTATTCTCAAATAATACATGTTTGTGATTAAAAACAAATTCAAATAGTTAGAAAAATATAAAGCAAGTCTTTCCTACCTCCTATTCCTCAAAGGTAACCACTGTTTTTGTTTTTTTAGCAAAAAAAAAACCAAATTTTTACTTATATTCACTGCCCATGTGTTCATTGCTTATAAGTCACATTATTGTGTGAAAGACTGTCAATGTGGAAAAGTGTGGTAATTCATATTAATTTTGCTTGAGTGTAGGTATAACGTTTAATAGAAGTATCACATTGTATATATAGTAGTATATAATGTTCTTTTTTCACTTACATGGACATCTTTTCATATCACTGTATTCAAATATTTACTTCTTTATTTTTTAGCCTCATTTTTAATAGATAAATAATATTCCTGTTACCTCTTAAGTAAGTACTTGAAACTATTCTTGGTCTTATAAGCAGTCTTAGAAGACTTGATTTGTAGAGCTGTTTTTAGAAAACAGAGTGCTACTGAGTCTTTTAATGTTTTGAGATTCTGCATAGTTTTTAATGCCCTAAGTTGGTCTTCTCAAACTTTCCTACCCCTCAGAACAAAGTTGTGATATAATGTAACCTCAGCCATTCTAAGACTAGGGACAGAGCCCAAATAACCCTTCTTTAGGAATTTTGCATGCACATTTTACTTCACCTGCATATATTATGTAATTTGTTTTAAAGTCAATGTTAGGATGTTAAAAATACTTAAAACTGAGTAAAAGTGATGGCCCATGGAGAAGTGCTAGCTTTAACCTAAAGGTTAAAGGCTCCCTGCCACTTATCCTGGCATACACTAATATAATGGCAAGGTTTCATACCCTGGTTTGAAAACTGCATAAAGTTAAGCCACAGTATCTATGCACTTAAATCCTAACAACCTGTGTGTGCTGATAGAGATTGTATAGAAATGTGGCTTTGATTCTTATGCTCACATAATAAGAATTTTGACACTCCAGAGTATGGCGAACCAGATCAACTGAAAAACCATCCTACAACAAACACCCAGAGATAAATGCGTATGACAACAAATATCCTTTTACATGTATAGGTGATCTTACAAGAAAAGAGAAATCATCAGGACAAAAAATGGAAAGCACTGAATCCTGAGAGAATTTAATCCAAGCATGGAAGCTAAAACTGTTGTGAGCTGTCATTATCAAAAATGTAAAGCCCTGGTGTTAATGGCTCTTGTGTAATTGGAGGTAGGTCCTGTGTTCTGCACCAGGTGAAGTAGCAGAACTGAGATCTCTCCATAAATTTAGGATCCCTGGAGGGAACAACTTAAAAGTGGGCTAGAAAAAATAACCAGTTTTCTGATTGGGAAACATTTATTTCTTAACAGAGGTCTCCCCGTATGTTGTTGCGAGTTGAATTTGCCCTGCTTACACAATCCAGAAAAATCCCAACAAAATAGATTAAACGTGTTTTGGGATTGGTAGTGTCCCACGGCATCTAGTAGTAAGTGAAACTCCATTTTAAAGTCCTATGTTTTGGGGTGCCTGGGTGGCTCGGACGTTTAAGCATCTACCTTTGGTTCAGGTCATGATCTCATGGTCCTGAGAGCGAGTGCTGTGTCGGGCTCCCTGCTCAGTGGGGAGCCTGCTTCTCCCTCTGCCTCTCTCTCTATATATATATATCTCACGAATAAATAAATAAAATCTTTTAAAAAATAATAAAAATTTAAAAATAAAGTCCTGTGTTTTCAGTCCAGATTTTAATTACTCCAGATTAAAATTGATCAGATATAAAGCCACAATAAAAATTACCACATCCATAAGGGTCCAAGTTACCATGGGTAAAAGTCAGCAGAAATAACACAAAGCAGAAGTAAGCCCTCAAATATTAAGACTCCAGATATTTGGAATTATCAATATGAAATATAAAGTAAATATGCTTATATAATTTACCCCCAAAAAGGAATTAAAGTGTGCAAGGAATAAACTATACAAAATGACCAAAAGAACAAAATACAACATTTAAGAATAATTAAAAATTTAAACTAGCAGATCTGAAATAGGTGACAAGAGAATTGGTGAGCTGTGAGATATATCTGTAACTACCCAGAATGCAACACAAACAAATAAATAAATGAGAAAAATAAAAGGTTAAGGAACACAGGGAAAGGAAAGGACTAACAGCATAGAACTCCAGTAGAAGAAAATAGGATGGAGAGAGTTTATAATTCAAGAGAGATTACGGGCACCTGGATGGTTCAATGGGTTAGGCCTCTGCATTTGGCTCAGGTCATGATCTCAGGGTCCTGGGATCGAGCCCTGCATCGGGCTCTCTGCTCAGCAAGGAGCCTGCTTTCCTCTCTCTCTACCTGCCTCTCTGCCTACTTGTGATCTCTCTCTCTCTGCCAAATAAATAAAGGAAATATTTTTAAAGAGAGAGAGAGATTGGCCAGGAATTTTCTGGACAAAGGTATCATTTCTAAACAGGATAAATGAAGTCTACCCTGTGACACACCTTAGTGAAGCTACAGAAGAACAAAAACAAAAGAGAGATTTTTAAATCAGCTGATCAGAAAAGAGATTACCTGCAAAGTATTGACAGACAAGTACACTTTCCAGCACCATTAGTAAAATCTGGAAAACTGGAATCATAACTTCACAGAGCTGAGAGAAAATAGTGTACCTGCCCTAAATTACTTTCTAAGAAGAAGGGTGGGAGTTAAAGATGTTTTGAAACAAAACCTGAGAGAATTCACTATAAATGGACCTTAATTGAAGGTAGTTGGGAATGAAAGAAAATGGTTATGTAGGACAAGTATAAGATTCAAGAAGGAATGGTGAAACAAAATAAGTAAAAATAAAATAAATGTTGGCTATGTAAAACAAAAATATCTTTTGTGTGTAAGAGAAGGTGGTTGAAAGGGATTCAAAATAAAGAATTATTTCTTTATAGAAAACAAGTAGAATTACTTCTTGTTTACACATGACTTTCAGCTTTTTTTTTTTTTTTATAAATATATATTTTTATCCCCAGGGGTACAGGTCTGTGAATCACCAGGTTTACACACTTCACAGCACTCACCATAGCACATACCCTCTCCAATGTCCATAACCCCACCCCCCTCTCCCAACTCCCCTCCCCCCCAGCAACCCTCAGTTTGTTTTGTGAGATTAAGAGTCACTTATGGTTTGTCTCCCTCCCAATCCCATCTTGTTTCATTTATTCTTCTCCTACCCCCTTAACCCCTCATGTTGCATCTCCACTTGCTCATATCAGGGAGATCATATGATAGTTGTCTTTCTCCAATTGACTTGTTTCTCTAAGCATGATACCCTCTAGTTCCATCCATGTTGCCGCAAGTGGCAGGATTTCATTTCTTTTGATGGCTGCATAGTATTCCATTGTGTATATATACCACATCTTCTTTATCCATTCGTCTGTTGATGGACATCTAGGTTCTTTCCATAGTTTGGCTATTGTAGACATTGCTGCTATAAACATTCGGGTGCACGTGCCCCTTCGGATCACTACGTTTGTATCTTTAGGGTAAATACCCAGTAGTGCCAATTGCTGGGTCATAGGGTACTGGCACAAAAACAGACACATAGATCAATGGAACAGAATAGAGAGCCCAGAAATAGACCCTCAACTCTACGGTCAACTAATTTTTGACAAAGCAGAAAAGAATGTCCAATGGAAAAAAGACAGCCTCTTCAATAAATGGTGTTGGGAAAATTGGACAGCTACATGCAGAAAAATGAAATTGGACCATTTCCTTACACCACACACGAAAATAGACTCAAAATGGATGAAGGACCTCAATTTGAGAAAGGAATCCATCAAAATCCTTGAGAACACAGGCAGCAACCTCTTCGACCTCAGCCGCAGCAACATCTTCCTAAGAACAGCGCCAAGGGCAAGGGAAGCAAGGGCAAAAATGAACTATTGGGATTTTATCAAGATCAAAAGCTTTTGCACAGCAAAGGAAACAGTTAACAAAACCAAAAGACAACTGACAGAATGGGAGAAGATATTTGTAAACGACATATCAGATAAAGGGCTAGTATCCAAAATCTATAAAGAACGTAGCAAACTCAAGACCCAAAAAACAAATAATCCAATCAAGAAATGGGCAGAAGACATGAACAGACATTTCTGCAAAGAAGACATCCAGATGGCCAACAGACACATGAAAAAGTGCTCCATATCACTCGGCATCAGGGAAATACAAATCAAAACCACAATGAGATATCACCTCACACCAGTCAGAATGGCTAAAATTAACAAGTCAGGAAATGACAGATGCTGGCGAGGATGCGGAGAAAGGGGAACCCTCCTACACTGTTGGTGGGAATGCAAGCTGGTGCAACCACGCTGGAAAACAGCATAGAGGTTCCTCAAAATGTTGAAAATAGACCTTCAGCTTTTTAGGGAATGATATAGAGAGTGTTTTACACATTTAAATGTTTAACTTTTGAGTAAGGTAATAAAACTCTTTTACTTTCATAGTTCTTTTTGCACTTTTAAAATGCTTTATATTGATTTCAGTTTTTATAGGAATAATAAGTTACATTGGGATATAAAAAACCTAAAACTCTGAGTATCAGTTTCTTTAAAGGAATCCTAATAGCTAGGAATATTAGTTAAAACCAGCTGCTGTAGCTAATACTGGGTTTATCACAATAGAAATTTATTGCTCATGCATGTGAAATCCAAAAGAGGGGTTCCTGTTTGGCAGATGATCTTCCATATTGTCATTCAAGGACCCAGTTAAGCTCCCTTCATTTTGTACTTCCGCCGTCCTCCAGGACTTTGGGAACGTAAGCATTCAGCCAGCAGATAAAGAGAATGGAGATCACATATGAGAGGTTTTTTGAACAAGGCCTGGAAGTGACCCTCCCACTACCTACGTATCAGTGGCCACAACTCAGTCTTAGGTATAATTACCTACAGTAGAAGTTGGGAAATGTCTTATAGGCCCCAGAGGAAGAAGGGGATGGCTTTTATGAGCAGATGGCCAGTCCCAGTCACCCAGAATATTTACTGCTCTAACCACCGGTTAGAACCACTCACGGCTCTTTTCCAGTTAAACATCCCAAAGGCTCTAACAGTCACCATCCAGTTCACCATCCGGATGAACAGCTTAGGATGACATGCAGTCCTCCACCTGTGGCCTTCCATAGTTTGGAAACGAATGAATTGAAAGGACAAGTTATCTGTCACCTCTCTCTCTCCCCATTCACCCAATACATAATAGCTGAAAGATGGGACAATCAGTAAAACTTTCCACTGGGGAAAGGGAAGCATGGAGGCATACAGTAGTTCCTAGTCTCTAGGGGTGAAGTCTTGGCATTATCTGGTCCCTCTGCCCTGGATTTGTAAGAGGGGTCTTGATCAGGCCTTTGGCCCTTGAAAAGGAACTCCCTTATCCATTGCTCATGATTCCAAGCTTCACCCTTTCGTGGGTTCCCCCTTGTGCATTCTTTATACCATGCCAGATGTGGGTATTGGGTATACTCTCCTCCAAAGCTGTACAGATTTCCCAGCTGCACACTGGTTATGTAAATCTGGGCTCCTGAGGATTGTTGTAAGACTCAAAATAATCAAAAGTCTTATTTAGAAATTTGTGGTTCATTTGACAATATTAATTTCCTCAAGAGTAGGCTTATGATCGCCCTGGTTCCAGTCAATTTCATGTGCCTGTGACTATTACCAGAATTCTTTCTTAGGCAAAATATTGAACCTGGTTTATTTGATTTCTGGCCACATTGCCTTTTCTTAGTGGAACATTTTAATTAAACTATTACGTTCAGGTGGGAAGTACTTTCTCTTAATTTGTTCTTTGCTGCGGTACTGAGTCTTGAGGGCTTTTATCAGTCTTATTTCCTGCTATTTGGAGTTTAGAAACAGTCAGCTTTTCCAGTCCTTCAAGGCCACAGATTATCATAGGAGACAATTTTTACAAAATGTTTTGCCATGTCATTACATGGATCTGTTTCTTTCCAGCCTCCAGTTTTAGCTTTCTTGCTGCCTGTTGCTAAGTTAATATCAAATATATTAGATTTTTTTTTATAGCAGCATCCACTTCTATACCAATTTTGTATATCGGTTAGAGTTGCACTGTTAACAGTAGGTAAGCTCTGAAATCTCATAGCTTTACAAAATACAAGTTTATTTGTTTTTCCCACTCATGTGAAGTCCAAAATGAAATAGCAAGTTTCTCATATGGTGGCTCAGGATCCCAGGCTCCTTGTAGCTCAAAAATCCTCTGCACTCCATGGCATATGAGGAAAGGAAAAGAAATATATATATGTGGGAGATTTTTATGGCCAGGCTTAAAAGGGAACTACATCACTTCTACCTACAGCCCATTGGCTTGAAAAACACTGCAATAGGTAGATTGAATTTAGGGGACAAGTGACTTATAAAAGTATTGATATCCATTTACTTCCATTTTAGAGCACATAATGTTGACCTACTAGAACTTTTTTAAATCCATATTTTATTTTGGCCCAGAGAGATGTATAGTCAGGAAAGATTATGGCGATAGAGATGAAGACATCAAAATATGGATCTAGCAGTTTCCCTAAGAGAACTAGGTTAAGGCAATTTATTTTTTGCTAATATTCTTGTGAACCATTGAGCTATTAGAGTGACCAAGAAGTGTTTGACAAAAGTTGATGACATTTTGCTTAACCATTTCTATTACCACAAATGCCTCCTCTTTTATTTTAGATAATCAGGTGTTGGTCTTACAACCTTTGTTTTTGTTGTTTTGTAAACAGCTTGCTGCTGGTTGCAGGCGGGACAGTATTAAAAATCTGTGACTTTGGTACAGCCTGTGACATCCAGACTCATATGACCAATAACAAGGGGAGTGCTGCTTGGATGGCACCTGAAGTTTTTGAAGGTAAATGACAAAAGCATGTTGTGACTGATAATCTGCCTTCTTACTCCATGTACATCCAGAGTATGTTTATGGCTTTACCCTGTTTCGGTGGTTTTATTTCTGCATAGTACATGCTAGAAAGGATATACAGTTGACCCTTGAACAACATAGAAGTTATTGGTGCTCACCATCCTGTGCAGTTGGAAATGCACATGTAACTTTTGACTCCCCCAAACTTAAATACTTATAGACAACTATTGACCATAAGCATTAGTGATAAAATAAACAGCCTTTTAACACATATTTATGTATGTATGATATACTATATTCTTACATGAAAATAAACTGAAAAAAGAAAATGTTATTAAGAAAACAGTAAGGGAACTACATTTATAGTATTGTACTGTATTTCTCAAAAAAAAAAAAAATCACATTTAAGTAGACCTCTGCAATTCATACAAGTATTCACAGGTCAACTGTACTAAAGTCTAAGAGGCAGTAAATAAATACAGCCCTAGATCTTAAATCTCATAGCAAGATTTGTGTTGTCTAGCAGTGTCCTATGCAAGTTCAAGTATATGTACAGTCAAGCCTCATGTTCATATTCCACCTATTGCAACTGTAAAACGTGCCTATTTTTAACCTGAAAATCAGTATTCATGGTGCTTTCATGGTTATTTGCAGGCATGTATAGAGCAGGGGAACATTTTGAGTCGTCCAACATACGTTCCCAGCTAAGTAGCAAGACAACACACTGCCTTCTTATTTCGGCTCTTATATTGTGTCATTTTAATGATCTACTTAGTGCCGTGTTTTTTTCGTTTTTTATGTGCTTTTTGTTGGTGATTTCACTGTTTAAGATGGCCTCCAAGGGCAGCATTGAAGTGCTTTCTAGTGGTTCTAAGTATAACAAGGCTGTGATATGTCTTAACAGAGAAATATGCTAGCTAATCTTTATTCAGACATGAGTTATAGTGCTGTTCCATGAGGTCAGTGTTAATGAACTCACATATATATTAAATAAGGTGTCTTAAACAGAAACCCATATAAAACAAGGTTATATACTGATCAGTGACATTAAGAGGTTCACAGGAACCTAACCCTGATTGCCCCCATGAGCAAATGACTCCGCTTTCACTAGTCCAGTCTTCGCAGAAGCTTTATAGAACATAAACACCAAGAATAACAAGAATCAGTTGTACTTTGTATTGATTTCCTAGCAATTAAAAACTGACAGTCTAAATGAGCATGCCTTAAAAGGATTGCAAGTAATTTGGTAGAAATATGATACCGAGAAAGACTAGTAAAGGATGAGATGTTTAATTTCTTTTACATCTCTGTATCTCACTCAAGTTCTAAAAGAATGATCCATAAATTTCATAATACCTTTCTGTATGAAAACATCAAGTTATCTTTTAAATGAGAAAAGTTGAACTGAAGATGTGTGATTTGTGTGTTAGTATGTCCATTAAATTCAGATATGTTCAGTAATCAGATTCTGATTATGGCTTATTTCTTTTATTTTTGATGAATTTAAAGTTTTTTTGTTTCTTTGTTTTTAGCCACCTGAAAGAAATTTGCCATGCAGTTGGTCTCTTGAGTGGAACTGTTTTGCCATAAAATTCAGTTAAAAAGTGAATGAACCAGCAGATGTTAAATTGTACAAAATTAAATAGTGCTTCCTGTTTTGTTTTGTTTTTTTAAAGATTTTATTTATTTATTTGAAAGAGAGAGAGATCACAAGCAGGCAGGGAGGCAGGCAGAGAGAGGAGGAAGCAGGCTCTCTGCAGAGCAGAGAGCCCGATGCGGGGCTCGATTCCAGGATGCTGGGATCATGACCTGAGCCGAAGGCAGAGGCTTTAACCCACTGAGCCACCCAGGCGCCCCCTGTTTTTAAGTTCATATACAGAATACATTGATTTAAAACTATTCAATTTTTTGGGGGTGCCTGGGTGGCTCAGTGGGTTAAGCCGCTGCCTTCGGCTCAGGTCATGATCTCGGAGTCCTGGGATCGAGCCCCGCATCGGGCTCTCTGCTCAGCAGGGAGCCTGCTTCCTCCTGTCTCTCTGCCTGCCTCTCTGCCTGCTTGTGATCTGTCAAATAAATAAATAAAATCTTTAAAAAAAAAAAAACTATTCAATTTTTTTAAAGATTTTATTTATTTGCTTGATAAGAGGGAGTGGCAAGCAGAGGGAGAGGGAGAATCAGGCTCTCCATGGAGCAGAGAGCCCTATGTGGGGCTCGATCCCAGGACCATGGGATTGTGACCTGAGCTAAAGGCAGACGCTTAACCGACTGAGCCACATAGGCGCCCCTGAAACAATTCATTTAAAATGCTTTTCTGTGAGTTAAAATCACATAGTATTACTGTAATGTGAAGAGCAAAAAGACTTATTTATACCAGAAGCCAGAAATCATTCCGAGTAATAAAAGTTCATACTGTAAGGCTGTAGTGATTTCTTCATTTCTGAAAGATGTCAGTCCCTATTACCCAAATTAGATTTTAATATTTTAGTGCTTACAGTATACTTCTTAGTGCATGTGTGGTACTATAGTCATTCTTACATGGATTTTGGGGGTTTGGGGAGTTTTTTGCTGTTTAGTTTGCTAATTGGCCCAATTTAGTGATCCTATAAATTTTGCAGCATAATCTGTCAATTGGTTATAATCATTCTGATAAATTTGTTATCCATCATTTTTACTGCTTACAACTTTAAAGTTTGCAAATTAAGAATTTTTGTCTTGCCAGATATTGAAAAGAAAGTTTTATCATTTAATTAGAAATTTCTTCTACTGTGATAGTAGAGTAATGAATGGAGGAGGAAAATTTAAGAATGAAATTAAATTCTTAAAATGAGAGAAAGGAGGGGTACCTGGGTGGCTCAGTGGGTTAAAGCCTCTGCCTTCAGCTCAGGTCATGATCCCAGGGTCCTGGAATCGAGCCCCGCGTCGGTCTCTCTGCTCGGCAGGGAGCCTGCTTCCCTTCCTCTCTCTCTGCCTGCCTCTCTGCCTACTTGTGATCTCTGTCTATCAAATAAATAAATAAAATCTTAAAAAAAAAAATGAAAGAAAGGGAAGTACAAATGTCTTACATTCTGCCTCACAGAAAGTGAAAGTCTGAATAAATAAAAGACAAATCCTGTGGCTCTCCATGAAAAGGTAGAAAATGACCACCTTTCTAAAGTGGGTTTTTTTTAGTGCATCATTAATATTCGGTTCATAAATAAATGTTTTGTTGCAGAGACTTAAGTTACTTAAGAAATTAAGAAAGAGTAATTTCTCAGCTATACATGCAGCATCCTCCTGTTTTTGTACATAGTGCTCATTCTTAAAAATTTATGAAAGCAATTGTTCCTGTAAGTCATGTGGAAAAGAGTCTTGAAATTATACCACCTTTTTCTCTAGGTAGCAATTACAGTGAAAAATGTGATGTCTTCAGCTGGGGTATTATCCTTTGGGAAGTGATAACACGTCGGAAACCCTTTGATGAGATTGGTGGCCCAGCTTTCCGTATCATGTGGGCTGTTCATAACGGTTCGTAAAAAGAAATTTTTTTTAATTTTTTTTTTCTTTTATATATTTTGTATATTATATATATTTGTATATTTTGTATCTACCCCAAAGAAGACCATTTATCGCTAACATTAAAATGTCCAGTTCTTTGTTACCAAAATACTTTGCTGTCATCAGTCTCCTACCTTCCTCCTCATCCCCAGAATCAGGTAGAGCAGTACTGAGAGTGGTCCTGTCCTTTGCCCAAGGCTGAGGAGGTCTGCTGATCCTGCTAATTAAGGAAAGGCCATCAGTAGACAGCCAGAGCCGACTACCTAGGTTGGCTTTCTCTAGGGGGTAAAGAAGCTTCAGATTGGACTCTGTGGAGGAAATAAAACTTAAAAATAAATAAATAAAATCTTTTTCAAGGTTAGGGTAATTGAGGAGGTTTAGCCTTTTCTCCTGAGGGAGCAAAGAATAATAAGAAGAATTGTTACTTCAGCTATTCATAAAGGCAAAACACAAAGTGCTTCACATACGCTTTCTTTTTATCTTCTCATTCATCCTTATAAGGGGAGTATGTTATCGCTTCATTTAACAGTTATACGATTTTACAGAAACCAAGACTTAGAGAGGGAAAGGAAGTTACTCAGGGTCATTAGATTAGTAAAGTATTGCTGGGATTCCCATCCAGATCTTTCTGATTCCCAGTGTCCCTATTTTTAACTTACATTGACTTATGAACTCAGTGTCCTTTATCCCTCCTGCTTTTTTTAGACATGTAGTTGTGATGTTTCTAACCACTGAGGATATTAGAATACCTGTTCTTCATTAATCAAGTTATTTCACATTTGATTTGGGAAAATAAACTCTTCATGGAGGGAAATTGCTTAACCTTTTTTATTTTTATATCATTCTCTATTACTTAATTTCTGTCAATTGGTTATAATCATTCTGATTATGGCATTTAAATTTTATTGGTATTTTAGTACACTATTCCACAGATCATAAAAATACCTGCCTAACTAGGTCATTCATAGACTTGTCAAACAGTACCATCATATGAGTAATCCTAAGTGTTCTTTTTAGTTTCCTGTACTGTCTTTCATTTTACCACCTTTAATGTCATTGTAGAGAATGCTGGAGCATTGACTAAGACAATGTGTTTTGTTTTTCTATTAATTGTCAGTAAATAATTAACTGTCGGGGAAGTACAGAATAAAAGAACTAACTTGTTAGTTGGTAAAATTACAAAGATTTCATTATATTTGAGGCTCTTTTTCAGTTAGGGACCTTTCTGTTAATCTTGGTAATTACACAAAAGTTGACAGTTTTCAGTTGGTGAAGTGATGGATTCACAGCAGCCAGAAAGGTCTGCCACTGACAAAAGAGTCATTTAGAGATCAGTGAGTATAACTCCATAGTTGATGACTTTTCTGTTATGGAAGGTGATTTTTGAAACACATTTGAAATTTTTATAGTGAATCTGAAAACCTACCTAGTTCAAGTAAGATTACCTCAAAGCACCCATTAAGCCATTATTACTTGTTAAAAGAACAATGTTTAGAACAAATGAGATATTATTTCTCAGTCTCACTCCTGCTGTACTGCATATAAAAATTTTAATTTAACTTTGGGAAAGGTGTACCTTCCCCTTTATGAAAATATAATGTAAACCTAATAGACAAAAAAAAGTACTTTTATTATTCCAAAATAAATCTTAAATTATAAGATCTATAAAATAAATACTGTATTGGGAGTACATATAAAAAGCTTACACCATTCTTTGGGTAAATCCATTCTTTCCCCCCTTCTAATTTTCAATTATAGGTACTCGACCACCACTGATCAAAAATTTACCTAAGCCCATTGAGAGCCTGATGACTCGTTGTTGGTCTAAAGATCCTTCTCAGCGCCCTTCAATGGAGGAAATTGTGAAAATAATGACTCACTTGATGCGGGTATAATCCTTCTTTTGAGGGGCTTTGGATTTAGGGGAATTAGATATATACTGAGTTTGGGATTTTAAAGTGAAAAGACATATTGCTGTTTTCTGCTTTATACTTTCCTGTATTGTCCAAGTTAGAATGGGCATTTATTACTCATATAATCAGAGGAGAAGACTTATTTTGGGGGAAAAATCTAGTTCTTTGTAATGGAAGGATAGCTTAACTAGATTTTTGAACTTTCTTTTTCCTCCTGCTTAATTTGGTGAACAAATGTGTTTGTTTGGGGGCCGGTTTCCTCATCTGTAATCTGAGAAGCTAAATTAGATGTCTTTATACAGGACTTGGGTATTTTCTTACTCTAATACTTGACAAACTAAATTTGAAATTTTCTTGAGTATAGATCTTCATCAAGCAGTCATTTATGCAAGGCAATAGAATGGTTGTATTCCCAGACACATGTATTTCATGATTTTTACCTTTTGATGTTTAATTACAAATTTTTAGCTTTTCTTGTACCATTAAAAAGTTAAACATCTAGGATTTAATAGAAATTCTTAATTTAGAAGAGTCCTTTCAAATGATTATCAAAATTTCTTAGTCTATAATAAACAGACACTTGGAATTATTTGAATAATTTTAGGCCTCTAGTTTTTGGTACATTAACAAAATCTCCCAAGTGGTACTTTGACTTTAAAAGTTCACATACTTATGAAAGTGCCTGAATTTTAGAACAGTAGAATAATTTTGCTCAGTAGAAGAACCTTTCAGTCTCCTTAAATGTAGACTTCCTAGATGGCCAAAGATTTGTTTATTCTACTGAAAATGATTTAGGCAAACCAAGCTTGAACTAACTTGATTAAAGTTTAAACCATCATATGTGGGTGGGTACCAGCTATATGTAGAATTTTAGGCCCTGAAGATGTGCTCATAAGAAAACAACTTAGTTTTCATAGTGAGATACCTTAAAACATTGGGATATATAAATTGTTCAGATTGTAATTGTACTTATATCTGCTTTGTCTGATTTCAAAAGAACACCTTTCTTTTTTTCCCTGAATTCTAGGGGTTTTTTTTTTTAAGATTGTATTTATTTATTTGACAGACAGAGATCACAAGTAGTCAGAGAGGCAGGCAGAGAGGTGGGGGGAAGCAGGCTCCCTGCTGAGCAGAGAGCCCCATGCAGGGCTCGATCCCAGGACCCTGAGATCATGACCCGAGCCAAAGACAGAGGCTTTAACCCACTGAGCCATCCAGGCGCCCCCTGAATCTTAATTTTTGACAAGCAAAATTTCCAATATTGTATCTCCATTTTATAGAGGAACAGCCATAATCTGTCTTTGATATTCAAAATATTCTAATTATTCTCTGACATACCAAACTCAGTTGTCAGACTGACAATAATTTTAACAATTTGAAAGTTTGTATCGGTGCTATGAGAACATAAATACATTTTACCTAAGTACGAGGAATAATACTATTATATTTGATATGTTCCTCTAGAAAAATATAGCTGTTTTCTTGAGGAGTATCTAGGCTCTGTGTAAAATAGATACTACTTAAGTACATACACAGCATTGATCACAGTTGAAATTTAAAAGAGTAGCACATTATCATCATCTTTGCAAGTTCACAAACTTAAGGCATATACTGAGTTTAGACCTCTATAAATTCAGTATATGCTGTAGGGAAAATAAAGCACCATCTCCGCTACTTTCACATCCCAGGACAAGGAAATAATTAATGTGTATTCTTCGAGTTAATTCTTACAGTATTTATTTTGTATTAAAGAAATTTTAAATTTTGATTTACTTTTTCATATATAGTACTTTCCAGGAGCAGATGAGCCATTACAGTACCCTTGTCAGTATTCAGATGAAGGACAGAGCAACTCTGCCACCAGTACAGGTAAATGGATAGATTGGAAGAGTAATAACTTAATTTTTTTTTGTCTCTGTTCCCATGAAATTATAATCAAGAGGCAATGGATGATGTCTCCATTTGCATTTTAATTTCTTCATTTCATATGATTGACTGCAATTTGGATTTCCAGGTGCATCATTCTTCAGGAAGGTACCCAGATTAAAGAGTTATTAAAGTCTTGCTTCCAAGTCTTAGAATTCTTGTATAGTTAAATATAAAAAGATAGTATATTGTATTGCTGGGATGTCATTCTTTATTTGAAAAATAATCATTTTTACACAGATATGGGTAAATCAAATAATATTAGAAATCATTGTAAATTTTAAAAACTGCATATTTTTTTATCATGAACACTCTTCTTTTTGGTCTTTATAGAAGAGTCTATAGAAACTCTTATTTAAGAACTCTTATTTTTAGTTCAAAGTTCCTTAATTTTCTAAATACAAAGTAGTAGTGGGATCTGTAGTTTGTGATCATCAGAAGAGACAGTAGAAATAAGTCTCTAACTTAGAAAAACTGCTTTTCAAAATATATGGCATTTTAAGCACTCATTAATTTAATTACAACTAAAAGATACATGTGTCTATGTACACATATATTTACCCTGTACTTAAAAGTTTATTTTTACTGAAAAATAAGTTTGCTGATGTTTCCTTCACCTCAAAAATAATTACGTTTATTTTAAGCTGGTTTAATAGTTTTTCCCAAATTCTATTTTTACTGAAAATCTTTAAGTTGCTCTGAATTCTAAAGTGAACTTCTCTAAAATTCCTTTGTTTCTACCACCACCTCCAAACTCTGTCCCTGTTTAAGTACTGTGACCTTCAGGCCTTTGATCCTTCCATCTTTTCACTGAGCCACAGTTCTCTTAGATCCTTCCTTTTATCCTCCCTTCACTTAATTCCAGATAGTGATTATAATTTCTCGTCTTAGGCTTGTTTGACTAAACCACAGATGGTTCGGTCTGACACTCAGCTTGCCATTGCCTGTAACTGTGCAACTGAATGTGGCTGGAGACAACACGTGTTTACTGTCTTCAAATGCTTTAGTGATAGAGTGATGCTGGACAGTTGTACTGTAGTTTAGTCTGTCTTCTCTTGCCTAGCTGACTTAATTTTACTCTTTAGCCTCTCTCCTCAAACTTCAAATACCTCCTCTTCACTCCTCACTTTTAGCTGATGCTATTTGCCTATTTCTTTGAAAAACTGGAATGATCAGAAGATAGCTCCCAGAGGCTCCCCTACTACATCTGCCCACCTACCTATGTATCTGTGCCCATCCGCTCTACGTTCTTTTTGTTACTGTGGCTGAGCTCTCGACGCTCCTCACCAGAGGCAAGCTTGTCTACTTGTGCACTATATCCCATCTGCTCTATGTAGTAGTTCTTCCCTCAGTCTCTTGCATCACCAGCCTTTCTACTGGAATCATTCCCAGGGCATATATAGTCTGTATTTGCATCCTCTTAGCTTCTCTCTTCCTCATTCTCTATTGCCCAGTCTGTTGAGGCTTCTATTATACCACTACTCCAGAATTGCTCTTGTCAAGGTCACCATTTGTCTCCACATGACTAAATTGAAATGATTTTCAGTTCTCATCATTTTTTTTAAGATTTATTTATTTCAGAGGGAGGGAGGGAGCAAGTGCATCCATAAGCGTGGGGGAAAGGCAGAGGGAGACGGGGAGAGAATGTTAAGCAGACTCCCTGAGGAGCACAGAGCCTGACTTGTGGCTTCATCTCATGACCCTGACATGAACCAAAACCAAGAGTTGGATGCTTAACCAACTGCTCCACCCAGGCGCCCCCCAGTTCTCATCTTTTTTGGCTTTCAGCAACATTTGACACAGTTCATTACTTTCTCCTTATATGTAGCACTTTCTTTAGTTGGTCTCTTGGATATCATACTAGCCTGGATTTCCATCTTCTATCTCTGGCCACTTTCTCTGATAGTTTCCTTTGCTGGTAATTTTACCTTCCCAACCTATTCATGTCAGCATGCCTAGGGCTCAGTCATTAATATTCTTTTGCTTATCTCTCTATACTTGTTTCCTCAGTAGTCTCATCCAATATTACAGCTCTGTATACCATCTATGTGCTGATATTTTCTTCCCTCCCTGACCTGAACCTCATACTCCTATATCCAACTCCTTACTTGATATCTAATAGGAACTCAGTTGTTAAGCATCTGCCTTTGGCTCAGGTCATGATCCCGGGGTCCTGGGATCCAGCCCCATGTTGAGCTCCCTGCTCGGCGGGAAGCCTGCTTCTCCCTCTTCCACTCTGCCTGCTTGTGTTCCCTCTCTCGCTGTTTTTCTCTCTGTCCAAATATATACAGATCTTTAATGGGAACTCAGACTTACCATTTTCCAAAAATTACGTTCCTGACATTCCCCTCAAACTTACTTCTCCCGTTGTCTTCCCAACTTTGATTAATGGCTGCTCTGATTTACTAGCTGAGGCTAAGAACCTTATAGTCATCCTTGATTTTTAGAAGACAAAGCATTTTGGTTCCCTTTTTGTGTTATCCTTAAAATTCATTTAAAATGGGTTTGGATCTCTTCATTGGCTTGAAAAGTCTTATTTTGTTTCTGTTCATGTCTTGTTAGTTTAGAAAAGAGTTTAAGTTACATATTATTGAATGAAGCCTCTGTATTATTCCCAACCTGTAGTCATAAATATTTCTACTTTCCTAGGCTCATTCATGGACATCGCTTCTACAAATACCAGTAATAAAAGTGACACTAATATGGAGCAAGTTCCTGCCACAAATGATACTATTAAACGCTTAGAATCAAAATTGTTGAAAAATCAGGCAAAGCAACAGGTTTGTTTTGTTACTAAAAGTAAAATTATGTGATGACCTTACTAGTAGTCATAACTTTATACTAACTGAAATTTTTTGTTACCTTCCATTATACTAATGCTGAATCTTGTTCCTAAAGCAGACAGATAAGAATAGAGACATAAAATGAGATTCTCCAACCATTTATCACTGATCAAATTATTTTCCCTTCTGATGTTTGCTGCCTTTGCCAACAGTGCAGCTCCCTGCCTGTGATGTTCCCTAACTTTAATGGTTGATGATTAAAAATGTAAAAATGCTAAAAAAAAAAAAAAAGTAAAGTAAAATGCTTATTTCTTGGTTCTACTACCCAGTTAAAGGAGTTTGCCCTAAGTCCATCGTTTCATATTGTCCAGATATATTTTTGCTATTATTGATTTACAAGTATTTTAAGTGATTTCATTCATCTTACCTGCGGCATTTAGGTTAACTAATAATTGTAGCCTTTAACTCCCAACTCCAGGGACTACCCTTTCCTAAAGGCCCCTTCTGGAGCTTGCTGTCCCTTACCCCTGCAGCTTCCTCTCCCTTAAAACTTCCCTTTTTTTTCAGAACAGAATCCATTAAGGATCTCAGGTGATATCTTTCTCATCCTAGGCTGCCCAGGATTTTTCAATTTAAAGAGCTTCAGTAATTCAAATTGACCTATAATTTTAACAGAGTGAATCGGGACGTTTAAGCTTGGGAGCTTCCCGTGGGAGCAGCGTGGAAAGCTTGCCCCCAACCTCCGAGGGCAAGAGGATGAGTGCTGACATGTCTGAAATAGAAGCCAGGATTGCTGCAACCACAGGTAAAAAGGAAATAAAAATCTGAAGAGGAGTAGAAAGAGTAGTTTTAATTGTTTCAGTAGTGGGAGTATTGGGTTTTTTGTGTCATAAAATTTTTTAAAGCAGGAAATAGGCTTACAAGATACTTTCTAAGCTTCTAGCAGATAATTTGTGTTTTTCTCCAGTTCCAAGTAAAGCAGATATGACTTGTAAAATTATTTGGATCATAAAATATATTTTTATCAAATGTAATTCTTTCAGCTCGAACATGAACTGAAAATTTAAGTGGAAAATTGAAATTTTGCCAAAACCAGAATGTTTTAGAGGATTTTTAGTGATTCTACTAGAATTTGTGCTGACTTCAAATAATAGCAAATACTTTGTTTTGAAATTAGTAGAAAAATGTACTCTAGATCCAAATATGATTTGGCCTTACTATCTGCACCTCTTCCTTCCAGTAGCAAAAATAGCTGAGTTGGGTGTAGCTAATTCTTTTAATTGCTATATAAAAGATAGTGGTAATTTTATTCAATCTTGGAAAAGCTAGCATTTAAATTACATTTTTTCAATTCTTAAAAGGATTAATTACAAAAGCATTGGTTAGCACAAAAACAATTACAGTTGACCTTTGAACATTGTCCAGGTTCGGGACATCAACCCGCCATGCATTTGAAAATCCACATGTAGGGTGCCTGCCTGGGTGACTCAGTCATTTGAGTGTCTGACAGAGAGTCTACTTGAGCTTCTCACTCTTCCTCTCTCACCCCTCTCCCCCGGCTCATGCTGTCTCCCTACATAAATAAATCAATCAAACCTAATAAAATTAAATAAAGAAATAAATAAATGAAAATCCAGGGGTACCTGGGTGACTCAGTTAAGTGTCTGACTTCAGCTCAGGTCATGATCTGAGGATCAGGGGGTCAAGCCCCGTGTCAGGGAAGAGACTCTAAGTGAAGAGCCTGCTTTTCCCTCTCCCTTTGCTCCACACCCCCTCATGCTCTCGCTCTCACTCAAATAAATAAAATCATTTAAAAAAAAAAAAAAAAAAAAAGGAAAGGAAAGAAAATTCACATGTAACTTTCGACTCTCCCAGAACTTAACTACTAATATTGACCTGAAGCTTTACCAGTAACAAATAGTTAACACATTTTGTATATTATATGTATTTTCTACTGTATTCTTACACTAAAGTAAACTAGAGAAAAGAACATGTTATTAAAAATATTGTAAGGAAAATAGAGGCACCTGGGTGTCTCAGTTGGTTGGGTGGGCATCTGCCTTTGGCCCAGGTTATGATTTCAGGGTCCTGGGATCGAGCACCGCAAATGGCTCCCTCTCCGTCTGCTGCTTCCCCTGCTTGTATTCTTTCTCTGTCTGTCAAATAAATAAATAAAATCTTAAAAAAAGAAAAAGAATATTGTAAGGAAAATACATTTATAATACTATACGATTTTTTTTTATTTTTTTTAAAGATTTTATTTATTTATTTGACAGAGAGAGATCACAAGTAGGCAGAGAGACAGCAGAGAGAGAGAGAGGAGGAAGCAGGCTCCCTGCTGAGCAGAGAGCCCGATGCGGGGCTCGATCCCAGGACCCTGGAATCACGACCTGAGCTGAAGGCAGAGGCTTTAACCCACTGAGCCACCCAGGCGCCCCTACGATATTTTTTTTAATCACATGCAATTGGACCCACGCAAGTGAAACCCATATTGTTCAAGGGTCAATTGTATATGTTTTATTACCTGAGTGAACTTGTAACCTTCTTTCTAACCAGGTTTCAGCTTAGTAATGGTGGCTTAATTTGTTTTCTTTCAGTTCTTCCAGGGGTAGAGGGAAGCTAATTATAAAAGTAAATACATTTCTTTTATGGGAAATGTGGAAATGGAAACAAACAGCCAAAAAGTTTTCCATAATTGTCCCACTAAGAAATAAACACTTAACAGTTTTGTGTATTTACCTCTGGTCTTTTAACCATATATGTGTATACATGTGTATTTTCATGTATCATGTATTTTCATATACATTTTTTAATTTAGCTAACCAGGTTGGTTTGTTTGTTTTTTTAGGTCTTTTTTCTCATTCATTCGTTTTGTTTTGTTTTCTAAATAGAATATTCTCCCTTTTTTGTGGAGCTCTTTTCAGAAAGTTTTCCAGAGGACCATCATACTATACTTGTCTTCATCTAATAATGAACACTGATTGTGTCAGCATTAGAATCAGCTAGCTATAACAGAATATTCAGAATAACAGTGTCTTGAACACATAAGCTTTCTTTTTCACACATAAAGAAATTTGAAGGTAGACTCTAGAATCATTAGGTACCTGAGCTCGTCTGTCTCTGGGCCACAGTCCTATTGTGTGGCTTCCATCCTCAAGGTTACTTTGTGCTCCAGAATAGCTGTCATAATCGGCAGTCATCACATCCACAGTCCAGGCAGCAAGAAAGGAAAATTAGGGAAAGGCCAAAGGGTCCATGCCCAGGCTCTTTCAAGGATCTTTACCAGAAGTTCCCCTTAACAACTTCCATATAGATGCCTTCGGCTATAGTAATATGGTCAAATGGCTACTCCTGGCTGCAAGGGAAAAAAGGATCTGTGATCTTTTATCTGGGAACACTGCTCTCCTGAGTAAAGTCAGGGTTCTGTTGCTAAGAAGGAGGGAAGAATAGAGATTGGCAGGGGACTGGCAGTCTTGGCCACACAGAAGATCTTTATAAATGATCAAGTTGAATGAAGCTCACCAGCCACTAACAAGCCTTCCTGGTCTCTGAATCGCAAGTGTTTTTCTGTGGGGTGAGGGCATCTCAGTGTAGTGGCAGATGAATAGTGCACACAGTGATAGATCTTCACACTTGGGGAACCTTTTCACTTGAAGGATATCATTCAAGTTAGAACTGCTAAATAATGATTGCTATTCTAAAAAAAGAAGTAGTGTTATAACGGTTTTTATATCTTTGCTAGTGTCAGTTTTCTAGTCAGGTACTGGTTTATAATTCCTTACAGAAGTGATATTTCACTAGGTTAAAAACAACCATATTTAAATTATCCTACCTTCTCTAAATATAGAACAGATGCTGTTGAACATCACTGAATTTTATATAGTTCAGATTTTTTATGATTGTCTTACTTTGAAAAACTCATACTCTCCAGCTTTTAATACTGTTCACATTTAATGGAAATGCACCTTGAACTTTGGAAAGTACAGTAAATACTCAGTTTAATAGAAGTATATGTAAATATTTACTTACAAAAGCATAAACATTTCACACTTCAATTCAGTAATTACATTTAATCACAAATTTTACTTTATAGCACACTTCAAGAAACATCTGATTTGAACATATATTCCTGTGTTTGTGTGATTAAAACAAATATGGCAGCTTATTTCTTTTTAACTCCTCTCTCCCTTCCCACTTTCATCCTAGCCCTCCCGTTGCTTATCAGTGATTTCACTTAGGTAGTTTGTTTCTGTGAACATGTTTGAAATTTAGCTTTGTTATTACCCTGCAGCTTTGTCTCTGTCCTTTTTGTTTTCTTTTACTGCTAATAAAACTAGTATGTGAAACATCTTTATTGATAGTTTGTTTCTCCTAAATCATGCCTTTTCTAAGCATGGATAAAAAGTTAGATAGTTCTGCATGCCATTCTGCATGAAGTATTATTAACATAACTATTTGAAAAGTATTCTGTTTTTGTAGTTAATCATTTTCCGTGTTACTGTTTGTGGTTGTTTGCATGTATACTGTATATATATATGTTTTTGCAGCCTATTCCAAGCCTAAACGGGGCCACCGTAAAACTGCTTCATTTGGCAACATTCTGGATGTCCCTGAGATCGTCATATCAGGTATCATAGACCAACTCAGGTGGTCTAATAGCTGTGGGACCGAAATAATGAGCCCTGGTACTTATAAAATGCTTCTTGCTCCAATTCGTCTAGGACATAAAAATAGATACCTTGCATGCAGTGATTAGGAAGAAAGATTGAAAAGTATACATTTATATATACTGAAGCAGACTTGACAGGATACCTTAAATCTCCAAAAAGGAGGGTAGTAAACCTTTTCCCAGAAGGGAGAATACTAGTCTAGAATTTTACCAGCTTGCTTGCTGCTTTTAAATGAGCAGATGAGCTGAACCAAGACTTTTTTTGCACCCAGCAGAAAGAGGAAACAACTATTTAAAAATATTTGTTGTCCCTTGGCTCCTTTTCTTCCTTATTTTCTACTTTTCGGGTTCCCTCTAGGCTTCCTATCCAATCCTCTTTCTGTTGGTAGCAATTGAAATTTGAAGTTAAGAAAAAAGAATTGCTAAATTCCATTTTGCCTTAACCTAGAAAATAGAAACAAAGTAAAACCAAATGAGATTTGCTGCATGGTATCCTGCCAAAGAATCATGATCAATTCTGATTCTTATATGCTATCAAGAGAATCTTCTTGCAAATTTTATGTTTTTATACCTAACTCACACATGGTACTTCAGCATCTCAAATTGGTAAATTGCTTTTATTTGTTGTGGTAATAATTTCATAGATGAATCTAAATCACCACATTTGACAGAAACTTAAATGGCATATGTAACCTTCATTATTGGTTAATATATGTCATCAGAATTATCATTTATTTCTCCCATCTGCTTTGGGTTTTCCTCCACCTCTTCCCTAAAAAGAAATACACAGTTTTCCCCACACACATTCATGGGTATGATTTGGGTAAATTCCTCAGCACTCTATACACTGCCTGTAATTGTGCTTTTAGCATAGTATTGTATCAAAGTTGAAAACCTAGAGGTCATTTTCTCCTCTAGTAAAATGAAAACAAAATAGAGACCATGTGTTTGTTACTTACTACTGATGGTATCAGCAGTTATCTGACACAGTGCCTCACACATAGTGTTTAATAAATATGTGCCTATTAAATAAACTGTTATTGACCTCCCATGGCTAGGAACTAGGATACATATAAAATCTGTATAAATTATAAATATGCATAAAACATAAATAATACAATTCTTAGGCATTTTGTCTGTATAAAACCATTTTATATTAAAGTAATTTTTATTCTTTCAAAGCGCTTTATTCTGTAACACTATCACTATTGCTGTTCAGAGAAAAGAATTAACCCATTTCTTACATAGTAATTTCATTTATTGAGTCATGGCCTGCTTGCAGAATTAACAGAGTACTTGAGATCATTTTACCTCTGTACTGAAAGGTACAGCGTTTAAGGGAATAATATTTTGACTAAAGAAGTGGGAGCACAAATATGCATACTGTTAAGCTGTGATTACTTTAAATTTTTGAGTGAATCAGTAGAATTTAGAATTTGGCAGTATAATCTTAAGCCATTCTTATGAGTAGCATTAAGAACACATACACACACATGCATTGAATGATATAGCCAGTACTGTACAAAATAATGAGGGAGAAAAAAGAGAAAGAATAGTCTTAATGGTTCTCAACCACGATGAATTTGCCCTCCAGGGGATATTTGACAACATCTGGAAACATTTTTGGTTGTCACAAGTGGCAGGTGCATATATGGTGAGCAGGACCGTGGGACACTGCTGAACATCCTACAGTGTACCAGATAATCTTCCAAAAGCCAAGAATTACTGAGCCTAAAATGTCAACAGTGCCAATGCTGAGAAACTGCTTCGATACTCTTGTGTGGCCTCTAAAGTAGTTTAGAGTACACCATCCTAATTGACCTCTACAACAGTCTTATAAGTGGGTTACCAGATTAAATTACAGCTCTTTTAGGAGTGAGGAACTCCGATATAATGGGTTTTGAGTGGTTTTCCCAGAGGCAGATAGCCAGGATCCCAACCTAGATCTGACTCCAAATCACATCCATTTTCTCCTCTTTTGTTTGAGTCAGAGAAGACTGTAATTCTGCCTTGCTCCTGTTTAGTGTTCACATTAAAGAGAACTCTTTGGCCAGCAGACCCTTTTTGGACACTGAGTCCTTGTTGGGAGTCAGGAAACCTTAAGTCTGCTCTTAATTGCCAGAGCAACAATGCTGTTCAAATACAGATGGTATTCAGTAACACATTTTATTAAATATTCTTGGTGACTCCCTCCCCCCCGATAATCCAAACATTAATCAGTTTTGCATTCTTTAATAAAAGAATACAAGCACTGAAATTAACAACAGTTGGACATAAAAGCCAGACATTAATGTGTTCTTAAGTTGTATTTTTAAATTAAATTAAATATAAAAAATAACCCATGCTTTGGGAATATTTCAAATGTCTTACATGGCCATTTTAATTTATAAAGGAAGATGATCCTTAATTCCCAAAATTTCTTTGTACCTTCTAGAATTTTTTTCCTCAAAGTCCATTTCCCACAAGCTCTGTCGTCAAAACTTCTTGCTATATCCAAACAGGTATTCATGAATACTGGATCCCATTTGTAAGCATTTTTTTAAAATACAGCTTTTTTTTTATCTTATCTGTTATAAAGTATTTTGAATAGTACTGTCCATTGCCCAAATGTAATATACTGAGTCTAACGTACTTAGAATGAGCTGCATCTTTTAATAAGAGTGTTCTTTTGAGCGTCACGAAAACTTTCATGTGTACTTTTGGCAATGTACAAATACATCTTTTTGAAAGTGTTTCATGCTTGAACTTTTTTACATGTACCAAGTTTTTAAAATTGTAAAGTACACACTGTTACTCTGAAGAGTTTTTTTAAAAATATACATTTTTATAGTAACTGAAATGCCTAGTCAGAGGTGAACAAATTCAAGTCTTGTTTTTTGCTTGCTCTTCAGCACTGTTTTGTATTCTGCTATCCTTCAAGCAATCCGTGGCTTACAATAACTTTCATTAATGTAATAGTCACTTGGGTCATGCAAAAATCTTTAATACCTCAGGAGTTCCTATGGATTAAGCTACACAATTTTTTATACTTTTTCTACATTGACCCTGGCTCTGAAGAAGTGTTGGCGATGTTTGTTACAGATGACTCCCTTCTACCTTTCTCTATAAGCCACAGAGAGTGGCTATAGATCAATCTGGCTTTTTATTACCAAGTGACACATAGTTAAGAGCAGATTGCCGGTCGAGTATGACATTTTGCTAATTCTTCATTTGTGGAGAGTGCCCTGCAAAATAACAGTGTTCTACCTAAGCAAAGTAAATATAACTATATAAGTGTCTTGCTTAGGATTGAAACTGACCTACCATTTTCTGATCTATTTGTTTATTGAACATTATAAACTGATAAATTGAAATTAATTTTGAGAAAAAGAAATAGACTTTCTTAAATGTTTACCATTAATACTTGGAAGTTTTAAAAGCGTAATCAATTCTCCCTTTTAGCCAGTTCATTTTCATTTGTTTTACTTTTATTTGAGGAAAAGATGAATGAGTAGATTATTATTAGATTGCTTTAAATTTACTTATTTTTTCCTCCAAGATCTTAATAAAAATGTGAATTTTTGTTTATTTGGTTCTTCTATTTGGATTTTCTTGACTTTCCCACATTTTTTTGTGTCCAGGCTTCCAAGGTTCTATTTTTTCCCCCATCTTCATCTCAGATACTCAAATGAAACAGGCATTATGAATTATGAAGTTATATAATACATTTTGATAATATTTACTAGTATTAGCATACCTCATTTATATTTCTTTCAAAAATCCAGGTGTCAAAGATCACCAAGTAAAATGTCAAAAAAAAAAGTTAACAGGAGCAACAGTCTTTTTCCATTTAAAGCATGGAATAAGACACTAGGTAGTTAATACAAATTTTGTTCCTGGCTTTAGTTTCAGTAATTGAAAAAAATCAGCAGTTCTGCTCTGGAGGCCTTGTGTGAATAATTACAGCATTTAAGGAAATCAACTGCAGTAATAAAGCATTTTGAAATCCACCGAAAAGATACTATCAAATACATACATATATACTGCCTTTGAAAGATTTCACTGAAACATTAGTCTTCTGTAGGTCCTTACTTTTTAATATGAAATCCCTTACACACAGTTTATACCAGATTGATTACTATCCTAAGATGATATATATTTCCAAATATTGCAAAAGTAAATTTTTCCAAATACTGATATTATATGACTACCATAGTTATAGTATATATACATCTTTTAAAAAGTAACCTACAAAGTTTTATAGGATATTTATGTTTAAACAGTTTTTATGCTATTATACTCAGTAGTACTGAATTTCTTAGGTTAGACTAAATTATAATTCTTGCCTTCATATAAAACACTTGAAAATTCTCATTTATTCCATAAATTAAAAATTGCTTTAATGTGCTTCTGTTTGAGAACCTTGAACAGTGGTGCTTTAGTATACCTTTGATAAGGCTAAAATAATGTTGCATAGCATTTTAGAGTCATAGAGTGCTTTAACAGAGGTGATTTTTCTGTCTTACATGCAGTTCTTAAGGATATAATAAATAATAAAGATTGAATGTGCAGATATTTCTTAGTCAGTTGTGTAAAATGTTTTTGCCTAGGTCCCTGAAGAACCTGAATTTAATTGATATTTTTTGTAATACTGTTCTTAAAGCTGAAAGGAACTTCAGCTGTCCTTATGATATCAACTACATTTAGACATCTTAACTGAGAAAAGTTTGATGAATATTTGCTTTTAATATGCCAGACATATTTAGCTCTGTATTAGTTGTTTTCATGAGTATAATGAACAGTTAAATAGAATAAGTAGAATATGGGAGAGTCCAAGCATATTTAACAAAAATAAATGGATGTTGAGTTTCTCATACTTAAGTCTTTTCCTCCTTCAGAAGTTTCAGAGATCTTAGATAATAGGCAAACAGATTGTCCTGGTGGGGATGGGGAGTGGAGGGGTGGAGGGGTGGGGGAGGGTAGTGCAGTGAGGGCTTTGTACAATCCTGGACAGCTGGAGGCTGCGATACTGTTCAGAGGCACTTGGGCACTGTTTTGCTTTCTCCCCTCAGGACAAGAATATAACCTTGTAATACTATATTTGGTTCAAGAACCAGTAGATCCTGTTCATAAACATTACTTTAACTCTAAGTACATCAATTGTTGGTGTAGTTTTTCCATCCAAATAGTGCAGTGCTGGTGTGAAGAGACAGTGAGGTAAAAAGTGTAGATCTGGCAGGTTCCTACCTTGGACACATAGTGTCATTAGCAGCTAGAAACCTTTGAATTTGGGACTCTGCAGCCCAAGGAGAGCTATGCTAAAATATTTCTGCTTCTGTTGTGTGTAGCCACCTCACCTTCAATAAAATTCTGTAAATGTGGCTAATTAAAAAGGAAGTTCATCTAACCAACATTAAAGAGAACATTTAGTAGTCTTTACATATTGTAGCCTATCAAGATAACATTTTATAATCGAAAAACTAATAAAACTAGTTTGTTAGAAAGTAAAATACCACTAATAATTACTTCCCTTTGATAGGAGGAAAAAAACACCCACCGTGAGGGGCCTTCTAAGGAATGAGGCAGAACTTGTTGAAATAAAAGAATATGAAATTTGTGGCAGCCTAAATGAGAACATACATTTTTAAATTGCGTGATTTAATGTGAAGCAGTGATATAACACAACAGTATATAGTGCTGTACAAATTTTTTAAATTTTATATATTTTACACATGAAGACACAGTTTTAATATTTTTGCTATTAAAATTTATACCATTCAGTATTTAATCAAATATTCTAATATGAAAATATTTTAATGAATATGTAATATTCATTAATAGTTTATATTTGTTATTTATATAATTATTAATATTTTAATAATTTAATATTCAGAACTTATGAATCTCAGAATTTCCAACATTTGTCAAGAGATGTCTCCAGGAAAATGTAGTGTTGATTTTTACATAAAAAGAATATTAAAGAAGTTTGAAAAATAGAAAAATAAGAATAATTAAGGTAAGGGAAATAATGAGCTTACTTAAACCAATAAGAAAAGCCACAGGACTGTCTAGAAAGGGTTCTGTTCAAATACCAGTTCAGTAAATGAGTTGTACTTCAAAGAGAAGCTTTTTGAAGAGATGTATTCTGATTTTGTGACATTAATTGTAAAAACAACTGAATTGACAAAGTTGCTGTTTCAACCACACTTTCTTTTTGGGGGGAAAGGGGGTATGTGGGGGCATTATGATGGGCTAGGGATATAGTTTATTCCTTTTGTTGCTCTTAGGGAAGTTCTAAAAAAATACCACTTGTTCCCTGTGGTAAGTCCTAAAAGTCCCAGAATTTATTATAAAATGAAATACTCAGGACATCATTTGCAGGTTTCAGATTCCTTGTTCAGGCATCTGTGGACCCTCAATTCTACTTTTTTCATTTTTACTACCATGTGTAATATAGGTATGCACATATCAAAGAACCATGAAAAAATATAGAATGAGTTTCTAAATTAGTTTTTAATTGCAAAAAAAAAAGTTCAGACTCCAGCTAAATTTACTGAGAACACAACCCAGTAATTTTCATTTGCAATAATAGGAGTTTTACTTTTTTTACATTCACATTTCCAAATTATAACTTAAGACTTAATATTGGAGCAACAAGTATTTGTTGATTACAGTATTTTTTTGCTTTGTCTAAACTTTGCCAGATGGTTTCTGCATTGGTTATGCTAATTAAAATGCATTGCCTAATATGCTTGCTTTGACTCATTTTGTAGCTTGAAGATTTCTCATTTTATGGCATTCATTAACTGCGTCCACCTCTTATTTACCCTACTTCCTTAAAAATTTTTATTCCCCTTCCTTCTACCCTACTTAGATTTGAGTTTGTTTTTGTTGTTATTGCAGTAGTGATGTAATGATTTTTAGAGACATGTGCTGGGTAGTTCCCCAGATTCACAAATGTTGCTAATCTGAAATGAGAATTCCAGACACTTTTTTATAAGCCTGTCTCATCTCCGCTAATTTTAGAATGATTGTGTTGAATGAAGTGTGCCTAAAATTGCTTATTAGTCATGGTGGTAGGGATCTTTTTGTCCTCAGGAAACAGGGAGAGTTAAAAACTTTCACAAGAGTATCTTAGTGTGCCTGATTCAACAGATGTGCTGTTATTTGTGTTAATTTGTATCCAAAAGTTGGAACTTGTGGGGGACCTGGGTGCCTCAGTCGGTTAAGCGTCTGCCTTCAGCTCAGGTCATGGCCCTGGGGTCCTGGGATCAAGCCCCACATCCGGCTCCCTGCTCAGCGGAGAGCCTGCTTCTCCCTCTCCCTCTGCTGCTCCCCCTGCCCGTGTTCTCTCTCTCTCTCTCTCTCTCTCTCTCTCTCAAATAAATAAATAAATAAAATCTTTTTTTTAAAAAGTTGGAACTTGGAATGAAATGAAATTTGAAGTAAATTTGAGCTAAAATTATGCAGAGAATTCTAAAACATAGTTTAAAATGAAAAAAATGATGTCTTAAATATTGGAGTGTAGCTATAAACTTGAGCTTTTATATTTGCTACATATTTTACTGCATTAAACATTCTGTGTAAGGTCATTTTAGTTTACATACAAAATAATAATGGGGTCACATGGATTAAGATGCTAAATTACATTGCTCCTTGGTTTAAAATAAGATACTGAGGATTATAGAAATATAAAATTTTAAGAATGAATTCTCTCTGCTAATCGGACCAAAACTGTTACAGTGTACATTCTCAAAGCTGCCTACTAGTTTAGAAATTATGTAGCTTTCAGAGTCCAAAGAATTTTGAGTATTGTATCAGCTGTTTCTCACAATATTTTTGTGTTTCCTTTTAGACAGCTAATCTCTCATCTTAAATGATACCGTATAAACAGCTCTATGCCCAAATAAAAGTACTGAGTGAAACTTTTGCTTAATTCATTCTATTTTGCTTATATTTTTAGAATTTTTTTGTAAACTCAGATTAAATTTATTAGCATGGAAGTTCCTAAAGCAGCCCATTTCAACAAGCTGTATATTCGAGAATGGAATGAGAGTCATTCTTCTTCAGTAGGAATATTAAAAGAGTTGTTCACCAGTAGTAAATTACTAGATTCTGACAAAGACTAATGGGGTTAAGTGTGACTCAGTATAATAAACTTAAGCCTAAGCATCCTTTTAGGCTCTGAATGAACAAGGTACTGTTGTTGGGTAAAGCCAGTCATGTTCTGCTACCTGCTGGCTAGCTGTCTTGCTGTAGAAATTGTAACGTAAGGCCCTTGAAATAGATGCCATCATCAGCCCCAGCCCACAAACATTCATCTATTTAAATACATGACAGAAGATGGTGCAAGAGAGTTCAGCAGCTATTCATGTAGGGTAGGAGCAGGACCTACTTTGTTGGAGGCCGGCAACTTTTGAGTTAAAACCCTGCAGCTGTTTCTCTTCCTTTCCTTAAAACATTCTCTTCTTTTTTTTTTTTTAAACAATAAACTGACTTAACTATTTTTCCCACAAACATTTTGTATAGATCCAAGGAGCAACAAATTCCAGCTTCCTACTGTAGCAGTAACATCCTTGTTGTCTGTTTGAATAGATCTCAGTATTCTACTTTTTTTTTTATCTTTTAAAAGGCAACGGACAGCCAAGACGTAGATCCATCCAAGACTTGACTGTTACTGGAACAGAACCTGGTCAGGTAAGACTTAACATTTGAATTCTCTGTCTTTGAAGAAGAATAATGGGCAGAAATCAAGAATTAACTATAATATATATACTTTGCAGAATTAGTCTCATGAGTTAATCTAAAATTGTGGTAGAGAAGTTCATTGGCACCTGAATTTAAATACTTTGGGGAAAAAAGTATATATGCCATTGTTAGCTTAACTTGAATGATAGTTTATCATAGTAGGTTGATTAATTCAGTAGTGTTCCATGTGCATTATATATATATATGTGTTTTTATATATGATTTAATAAAGAAATATCAACTTCATAATTTAACAGTTTGTTGTTATCCTTAGGCTCTAAAGTGAGTCATTAGTGCTATCTCCTTTTTACTAACGAGATAAAGAAAAAAATTTTTACTATTTTACTAATTACTAATATTTACTAACAAATATTTTCCCAAGAAAATGTCACTCCTGTGGCATCACGTAAGGCACTAACATACCTAGATGACTCCAGCATCTTTTAATTTGTCATATTTACTGGATTTATATTTTTGTGAAATATGCTTAAGACAGTATTTACTAAGCAGATGGATAAATTCTGGAAAGGCTTCTATCACAGTTGCTAAGGTTTTCTTCATCTTATATTTCTGGATGTTCTTCAAAAGTCTTATTACCTCTTTATCGCTTTCTTTATAAATGATCCAGACAGTGTTATAATTTTAGCCATTACTGACAGAGTTTTAACCAACAAGTATATAAAAGTATCAGCTCAGCAAGTATTTTTTTCTGTTATTCAGCTCAATACATATAATTCATGTGATATTTTTAAAATGAATGAGAACAAATTGTGAGGTATTTGTTGATTTATTTTCAGCTGTATTACAATAAGTGTTATGAGCACAACATACATCTGAAGCAATAAAAATCTCACATTATTGTCCATATTCATGTAAAATTACCGGATTATTTATTATAAACAGATTTAATTTATGATAAAATGTGCTAGTACTTTCCATTCTAGAAAGGTGTTTTATTATTTCATTTTTATAAATTTTAAAAAAATTCTTTTTTTTAATTTATTTGAGAGAGAGAGAGAGCACAAGCAGGGGGAGTGGCAGAGGAAGGAGGCAGAAGCAGGGAGCCTGACAGAGGGCTCCATCCGAGGACCCCAGAATCATGACCTGAGTCGAAGGCAGATGCTTAACCAACTGAGCCACGCAGGCACCCCCCCTTTTTTAATAATATTTTTAAATTTTAGAGAATCTTCGTAGTCATTAATAAAAATTTGAAAGCCCTTTATAGGTATCAAATTAACTAACAAAAAGCACTTGAAATATTTAATGGTAAATATCCTTGATCTTCATTTATATCTGGATATATTTTTTATTTCTCACAATGCCTATACACACACTCAAACACATACATATACACACATAAGTACATTGTACATATATATTTATTATAAATGATATGAAGTAACCCTAAATCTGAAAGTATTATAAATGAATACAGTCATTTTATTTCATTTATTTTAATGGCTTTTGCAGTATATCTGCTTTTGTGAAACCCCAGAACTTTTGAATGACATTTCCCACTTTCTCCCCCTCAAATACTTCAAGTGTTGGTGAGGGCAATTAGTAACAGATAGTTTGGCATCTGGTATTTGCTTTGATTCCTTAGAGGCTTGATGAGCTCAGCCTTTTTAACCCTGTTTACTATTGCCATTGATATTCCAGTTATGAGAAATGCTAGCCAAGTGTTCTCCCTTTGAGAATGTGAAGCGTGCTCTGAGGCAGTTCAGAAGCGTGTGTGAGTGCAAGTGCCCTTTTCTGTACTCTGTAGTAAAGGCATTGCTGTTGTTATTCGGGACTCACCTCACCATACCAGCCTTTGTTACTTCATCACAAGTTCTGTATGACTTGAGATTATGATTCTTAGCCTTTTCATTTGTAATACCTTCCATGGAAAACACTGGAACTGAGGCAGTCATGTCAAATGACTGACAGTCATTTGCATGAATTGTCATGGACTACTGCAAAAGATTCAGAGTGAGGGGGATTTTAGGGTGGCAGTGCAACCAGTTCTAAAACGGGTGATAGGGGCGCCTGGGTGGCTCAGCGGGTTAAGTCTCTGCCTTCAGCTCAGGTCATGATCTCAGGGTCCTGGGTTCGAGCCCCGCATCAGGCTCTCTGCTTAGCAGGGAGCCTGCCTCCCCCCTCTCTCTGCCTGCCTCGCTGCCTACTTGTGATCTCTATCTGTCAAATAAATAAATAAAATCTTTAAAAAAATAAATAAAACCGGTGATAGGTGGCCATTGTGTAGCCAGTTTTTAAAACTGATCCACTCTTCCAGAATTACTTAAGTATCATAAATGTAAAATGCCATTGAGGATGGTAAATAGCAATTCTAATACACTGTGAAAACATTTTCCTCTGAAAGTGTTAGGACAAATAAAAATTAAATCTTTTTAATTACTCATGAAAATGATATTCATTATTTGAAAAAAAGTTATGCACAATATGGATTTTCAGAATTGAAGGTATAGTTCTTTTTAAATTCTGGCTAAACGGTGATAAAACAGATGCATAGAGGGTTTTGTTTGTTGGTTGGTTTTCGCCATGGAAATTGGTAAAGAACATGAAAAGAATTTGCCTACCTGGTACAGTCATCAGAGGAAGAGAAAACTTACTAATTACATTTAGTAGTATGTCTCATAGAGGAAAGTAAACTAATTGGAGTTTATACTTTGGCTCTTGATTCAAGACTGACCTTAAAAATCATTTAGACTTTATATCTGTAAATTAAAATTAGGTTGTTTTTATACTGCCATTGCTGTTGAGCAGAATAGTGAATGAAGCAAACCTCTGAATTAACAGTAGTTGTGATTTGTCTAAAATTCTGTGTCCTTAAACATACAACTCACTTTAAATTCATTCAGGTTTTTATTAAGCCAGAAAGCTTATTAAGCACATTTAGTAGATCTGGCCTCTTAGTTTGAAAACATACTGAGAAAGAAAAAAGTAGCCCCAGGATGTCCCAAGAACTGATCTGACACTGAGGCCTCAAGGGCTGTTAGAAGCTGGGCATAAACAATGTTTCAGAACACCAATAGACAAGATTATACTGAGACCATGATAAGGTGAGACAAAACAGGAACACTTTTTAGTGTCTCAGCACAGACAAAAACAAGGTCACTGTGCCACACACAAAATACCAGACATTGCCGTCTCCCAGCTGATGTGAGTGACTGTGCTTCTTTACCAGCTGCAGCTCTATCCTCATTCTAGTCTAACTTCCCTGGAGAATTGCCTCTGCTTTCTGGCAGTAGCTAATCTAGAGTTCACCCCTCCTTCCTTGGAACTGCTCCAAAATCACTCATCGAAAGCCCCAAATCTACAAGTTCTACAGTCCTTTCAGAGATACCCCACATTATCCCATAGTGAGCACTCTGCTTCGCTGTAGTGAGTGTTAAACTCATCTCCTCCCACTGTGGGTATGTTCCTGGTGGTCTCTGCCTACAGAGTATTGACAGTGCCAAGAAGGCCCAGCCCCCTAATGTATTTGAGCACAGCAGACTTACACCCAGATCACTTAGAGAAATGCAGTAATATGGTTGTGCACCAACTTTGTGCTAATCAGGCCTTTATTTTTTAATTTTTTAAAAAAAGATTTTATTTACTTATTTGACAGAAGGAGAAAGATCACAAGTAGGCAGAGCAGCAGGCAGAGAGAGACGGGAGGGTGGGTGGGGGGGAAGCAGGCTCCCCACTGAGCAGAGATCCCGATGTGGAGCTAGATCCCAGAACCCTGAGATCATGACCTGGGCTGAAGGCAGAGGCTTAACCCACTGAGCCACCCAGGCGCCCCTTTCTAATTTTTTTTTAAAGATTTTTATTTATTCATTAGAGAGAGAGTGGGGGGGGGACATGAGCGGGAGAAGGGGCAGAAGGAGGAGAAGCAGACTCCCCACTGAGCAGGGGGCCCAACAAGGGGCTTCATCCCAGGACCCTGGGATCATAACCTGAGCTGAGGGCAGACACTTGACCAACTGAGCTACCCAGGCACCCCAATAATGTATGTTATTTAAATCATAACCCTGTAAAAAATAAATCATAACCCTGTAAATTTGGTACTTTTATTTTCCTCATTTTGCAGATGAATAAACTGAGGGTTAGAGAAACTTTCCAAAATGTCTTCCCTTGTACTGCCAGTAATTGCTATAGCCAACTTATGAATCCAGATCTGATTCCAGAACAGACACACTCTGTCATTCTGTGTTGCATGTAAAACTGAATGTATTGCATGCTAAAGTACTCCTAGATCTCTTTGATTTCAAGATTTCAAGATGATAGTGTACATCATCATTAATTATTTAAATAGTTTTTAATGATGATGAGTTTTAGCTGTATCATATTACTGAGCAAGGTTAATTTACCTTGATAATAAATTTCCTGAGATGGCTGTACAGATTTACTTTTTATATATCTGGGTGAGCCTTCCTTAAATTTCACCAAAATTATATATTTTTATGTATGTCTGCATAACCCTTCTGGAGTATATATATATATATAGATCTGTTTTCAGAAGTCTCTTGGGGGGATAGCAGTCAGTGAAAATCACAACCGCAAGATAGATGATGCGATGATGATTGTTTAAAGAGTTAGGCCTACTATATTTTTAAATGGACTTAGAATCTACTTTCATTAGTCAGATATGTGACTCTAGGTAGGTTCTTTAATTTCGCTGAGCTTCAGCAATCTCATATACCAGTGGGGATCATAACACCCACTCCTTGGGGTTCTTATAATATGTAAAAGTACCAGACACACTGTAGATGCTTAATAATGTACACCTGCCTCCCCATAGTGTACTTCCCAAGGTTCTTATTACTTCCTTGTTCTCATTATAATATATTACTATCCAGAAAACAAAAATAGCACTGGGAAAGAGATAGTCCCATTGGCATTCAGTTTTTTCTGTATTATAGGAGAAGTTTGTGTTAGGGATCATAGAAAGTATTGGCACT